TCCTGCTGACTGAGCAATGCCAGAGGGAAGAGAGGCATTTTTAAACTATATCATTTCTTTATTCAAAATCACCATCTCCAGGCTTTTATCATAATTAAGATTTCTTTCTAAAGAGTTTATAGTGATTTATTCAGTAAATATTTCGATACACTTTGTTCTTTCTATAGATAGCAAGCACAATTGTTAAAATTAATAATTTATATAGATTTCATCAGCTTGCTCTCAGGCAATCTTGATTAATTTCTGTTGGAGCCAGAACTGAGAAAACTAGTGTCCTTTTTTTCATCACAGACTTTTGTCTCCATAATTAATCTTTACCAGGGACTCACGTGAGTTGATGTGCATAAATTCTGCATGAATAATTAGAACATTCTTAGCAGATCAGCTAGTCTTCTCTAGCACATATGTCTTTATATACATTTTGAGGTTTGAAACAATGAAGTTCACACTAATATCAGGGAATGGATTTTTCACCCTTCAAAATTTTTCAAGCAGACAAAGTAAGCTGATTTATCTTGGGTTTTAATTGCTAAGTTCAGAGGTGCCTAAACAAACAGGTCTCAACTGGCACATGTATCCTCTTCAGGTACTTTGAATTTTTCTATGTGGATTTTTATAAACTTAAATTTATTTATATTTGTGCCTGTTTATAACATACACGTTCTAAAGGTCCTTCTTCCAAAAACTGTTCTATGATTTTAAAGTAGCTCTGTAACATTTTCAGATGTGCTATATTATTATTAGGTAGAAAAACAGGTAGGAGGAAATCCAGAGTCCTTTCTACTTGTGTAGCTCTAGCTCACAAGTAAATTGATCTTAAAAAGAAATTCCACTACTACCATAATGCCAATTAACATTATTTCCACTGAGGCAAAGCTAACTTACATATACAGAGAAAACATTTGCCTTTAATGCATGAAACATACTATAACAGATGTAATATTTATACTTTAAGTAACAGGAAATGCTGTAATTCTGAGAAGTTTCCTTACCTGCTCTACGCCAGAATTTCATGTGTTTAATTCCAACTGTAATCAATTTATCAGGCATATAAGGATTAATCTTAACAACAAAAATCTTATCTTTGCTTCCCCTGAAACACAAAGCAAAATATTTGAAATAAAAATATAACTATTCATATATTTAAATAGGTTTTGATTTGTAATTTTTTTTGCTAATGTACACCTTTTCTATCTTGCTAACAATTACTTCCAAATCATTAACATAATTTCTAATGAGGAGGAAGAAAGCCTAGGAACTAACATGCTGAGTCCTGGTCTATTTTCATTACCCTTCAGTTTAAGTAATAATGTTACTTCAGAAATCCAGCAGGTGGCATTTTCTTTGCAAAAGAATATATATTTGCATTAAGTTTACAACTTTAAAGTGTAATTTAAAGTGTAATTTTTCTATTTTTCTTGTTAGAATAAAATACATGCTGCTATATCAATTTTAAATGGAAATTGCAGTTGTTTCTAAAACCATTAAAACTTTTTGTTGATTTCTTACTATGCTTCTATAAAACCAAGGCCTTGCTTCAGTCTTATAGTTTGAAAAACAGCTTTCAACTTTGTTTGCTACCTATGCAAGGAAAGAAATGCTTACTAGACGGATTTTCTTCTTTTAAATGTAGAAAAGCCTCTAATCCCTAATTTTTGCCCCCTGTTCAAGAATGGCAATAATATTTTACCTCTGTCATTTTAAGACCACTAAATGAACTAGTAGCAAGAAGCATGAACTAATTTCTTTCCAAACTCACACTGTTATCTTCAAAGTATAGATGCTGCTCTCAAAAATTCTATTCAATTCCTCTGAGTAGGTAGGAGGAAAAACACTCCATTATAATCTGGTTAAATTGGGATTAAAAAAAGAATTAAGTGAGGTTGGTGGGTTCAGAGAGAAGGGGGTTAAAAAAAAAAAAAAAAAAAAAAAAACCCCCCCCAAAAAAGGCTAAAAAAAAAAAAAATCACGTGAAAAGCAGATAAATGAAAGGCCCAAACCAGTATCTTCAAAGAAATCAAGCTAACTACTAACTGGGCTTCTAACAAATAACTGGGAAGGGAGTACTCTTTATCTACATCATCTATTTGGGATTTTCATTCCTCAGTAGATAAGAAACTCAAAGCGTGTTTAAAAAGAAAATGAAATTAAATGTCATTGAAGAGCAATAATGAACTTAATGGATAGAAAGGAAGTTGATACTTTTTAAATTGTATCCTTAGAGAATAATAAATCCCTTTCAAACCTACCTAGATCAATATTTAGAGTATACATACTGAATCCCAACAGAGTGGGGAAAAACCCACTCTCATTACTGCTCTATTTAAAGCAATAGATCCTTAGAAACAACAAAATCAAAGGTCTCAAAAACATTCCTCAGCGTTAGAAATAAGATTCTATCATCTTGTAGATTAAAAATCTATTTAATAAACATATATGAAAATCTGCACAGATTTTCAAAGAAACTTCCAAAATATTTAACCTTTGGAGGTTATTTAGTCCAACTTCCTGTTCAAAGCAGAGCTAACTTCAAAGTTAGATCAGGCTGCTCAGGACTCAGAAAGGAAAAGGAAAGAACCCTGAAGAAAAGGGAACTGAGGAAAACAACTGCAAACCACTATCCCCAGACAGATATGACCTGGGATGAAAAAGATCTGAAAAGCAGAGCATACATCACTATCTCTGGGAGGGCCAACAGAAGTGCATGGAGTAAGTTTTAAAGAAATTACTTCAGTACACATCAAATAAATGTAAATAAACTTTGTCTTCTATGTCTTCTTTCTTCACCAGTTGAGCTGTCACTGTAATAATTCTTGCTGACTCTATCACAGCTTCAGTTTTTTCTTCCAAAGAAAGTTTTAAGGCTGTGCTAAATGTTATCGCCTGTATCACTTAAGTGATAGAAACTGCTAATTTATTAGAGAACTGTTATTCTTTAATAAATACATTGTGCTTACTGTCAGTTCAGAGTAAATCTAGGTACAAATTTTAAAATAAAAATTCCTACCTTACTGCTGAAAGCTTTTCTCCTTTCTTCCAATCCCAGAGTACAATAGTGTGATTGTCATCTATTCCAACAGAAGCCAATCGTTTTCCATCCGCTAGAAAAGAAATTTATGATTAAGAGAGTAGACAGATAACATTATGTTGCAATAATAACAAACCACATTAAAGAATACTATAACTTCACAAATATGGTAAGAAGAATGTACAAACAGGTAAATAATCATATGACGTGTGCTTAGAGGCACGTCTGTCGATGTTTGCTTTTAAACTTGATGGCCAGTTGGATGGAGTTTAGGACTTTAAATTACCCTCTGTGTTTGTACCAAATCCTTTGTTCAGCTAGTTGATGACACAATTGCACAAAAAACTTCATCACAGGTTGTACTGTGAGAATTTTCTGTTCACTTTGAAAATCCCTGTTCATTTCTAAACAGGAAAGCATTGAAGCAATACCATGAAGCTAATGAAATATCCTTAAACTTAGTAATAGTGTGAAGTCTTTGAGAAGCTCTGACATGTATCCCATATTAACCTCCAAGAAAGAAGTTATTTGTGCTTGTGATCAATGACTTTCTGACATGCATCCATCTTTGAAATTGCTATGCATCCATGCCAGAATTTGGGAAATGAGATTCTCGTCTTGAAAAAGGAGAACCAAAAAAAGGTAAGAAACATCAAAGACCCCACATCTTTGTGATTGCACATCTTCACTATGAGGTCAGAGATTCTATCTAGTACAACCAAAATATTAAAGAATCAAAAGAAGCCAGTGGAGAAGAGGAAATTTAACATTATTACAGGAATTCAACGTATGGGGTGGAAAAACCTCAACAGATTTAACTGACAGTCTCTTATGTCAGTATAAGGTGGAGAGAGAGGCTGGGTTTCTGCCCAGAACAACTCCATAACAGGACTTTTTGAATTTATCACTATGCTACCCAACTGGCTTGCAGGATTTAATTTTTTTTAAAAAGTGCACACCTAATAAATTTGCTTACACAGTTGTAATGGAGACACAACACTCAAGATCTGTGCGTCTGCCTCATACAACCCAAAGAAATTCCAAAGTGATCAGCTCAGCTACTGAACAGCACAGAACCTTTTCTTGCACTTCCTGATGTGCAAGGCTACACAGGAGCTCTTTTTAACAAATGATCACTTTCAGACAGCCTCTCTCATATGACATTGATCACTGGAGAATATTTTAAATACAAAATCCTCAGTGTAAAGGAATTCCCAATCGCTCATTAGAACTGAAAAGCTGTATTTTCATAAAGAAAAGAATTGTAAATAAATAAATAAATACTTATTACCTGAAAAATCAACAGCACAAACACCGTACTGGTGATAGCCCTTTAATACTGAGAGTGGTTTTATTGTTTCTGTATCCCAAATGTGTATTGAGGAATCTCGGCCAACCTGAAAGTATACATATTTATAACTTTTTTTTTCCCTCAGTTACTTCACACAGTTGTTTAAAAGTATAATATTGACAAATACTTTAAAAAGTATTTGAAAAATTTTACAACGATAAAATTTTCCTCATATTAGTTCTGTCTGGCCAGCAGTATATTCCTCCTTCTCCTGCTTCACCAATACCACTCCCCAGCTGTCTCTTTCTTCTCTCCAAAGAATTAGTCACAGTAATCACAATTACTAGAGTTCTTGCGGGGGGGGGAGCAGGGCAAAGCCCTTAATTGATTGCACTGTGGCATCAATTCTCTATCAATCATTCCCCGTCTAAAAATAAAAGGGTATTTTTATTGCTAGTATATGTAAGCTATTCTGTGTTTACGAAATCAAGGTGACTTCTGTTGGTTTCTGGTGTCACTATAAGTGCCTGCAAGTCAGATTATAATGCACTAATACCTGTGGAGTAATCTCCACTAGAATAACACTGATGTAGGTAACTAGAACTTGGTAAGAAATGGAAAATAGCTTATTCTTTTCAACTATGTACAAGCATTATTAGTCAATATTTACAAGTTTATTTGCTATTCCGAAGATTTTGCACCTCAGCACCCAAAAAAGGGCTGCAAAACCAGAAGAACACTCTCCTGCGTTTAAGACCGGGGGTAGGACTCAAGAAAACTAGAATCTATTTCTGGTTTATTTCTATTTAAAAAAAAAATAAGTCTCTGTTCGTATGTTCTCCAATTTATTATATAGTAATAATAATAAAAACACCACCACCACCACCCTGAAACATCAAATCAAACCTTCAGGACCTGGTGTACGAACATTTATGGGACGATACGTTTGTCAGAAAACACAAGTGAAAAAAAATTACCTAAAATTACTGTCTGGCAAAAGATAATATGGACTATTATAAATACTTTAGCAATATACATATCTGTGTTGCATGTACAAACTGTAAATACTTTGGCTGTAGGTGATAACGAAAAACACAATGCATGAAACTGAAATGCCAGACTAATAACTGCTAACTTCATGTTATGTAATAATACATGAATGTAATAAGAACATAGCTAACTTTACAACTAAGATACTAAAAAAAAAAAATAAATATAATTTAATTGCACATTTCCTCCACTTATTATCATGAAGAAGCAACATAATGCTGCATATAAAATATGAATCTCTTCTTAAATAAAAAAAGACTTATCAGAATTAATATAAAGAACTGGAAAAAACCACTTGTGTTGCAGTTTTTTTAACATGATTCCATCTGCAACAGAAATACAGTCCTTCACCAGAATAAATGTAGACTGCACTTCTTTCCTCCAAAATAGTCTTTTCTAAATTCAGGAGTAACAACTTCAGATTCTTATTGCAGATAAACATACATCCTACCTGGCCTGTTGCCACATAGTCCTTTAAGGGATGAATAGCAAGGCAAAGAATGTCATCATCATGACCTAGATAAAAGCGCTGGGTGTTCTGCTGTCGATTGTACACCACTCCCACTGCTGCAACATGGTATACAATTTCACCCGTCTGAGTGTAAAATAAATTGCTTCGACAGTCGTAACCTCTGTAACTAATTAAAGAAAAAAAAAGTTTGTTCATCAAGGTCATAACCAGATATACTGAAACTTTGAGATAAAATTATGCAAGATGCATTTTGCACATGTGACAACTCAGATTACTTACCAATTACTGTCTTGGTGTTTTAAGATTCTTAACATATCTTCTCAAAGGAACACCAATTTATCAATTGCATTTACTATTCAGGCATTATTGCATTATTACATTATTACATTATTCAGCATTACATTACTACATTATTACATTATTTAGCACTAGTTTGAAAGTGGCTACTATTTAATAGTTACTCTCCACAATTAGTTTAGAAGAGGAAGTAATAGTAATTTTTCCAGACTACATGGAGAATTTGGGCATGCGACATGCAATTAAATAAAATAGCCAAAACTAATACTTTGGACATTTTCTTTTACTGTTCAAAAATCAGGCAGCAAATGTTTCCACAAGAATGTGGACAACACAGGTATCATAAAACTGAAAATTTCTGGAAAATTGCTAACAGAAAATAAATGCCCAAATGTTCTCCCAGATCAATTTCTTTTCTGAAGGAAAACCTGTCTCCTTGCTGTACTGATAGAGCAACTGGCATGAGTAGGCCAATTCCCAACTGAGGTCTGTATGCACTATCACAGTATACACATTTCTTCCTAGATGCGATTAAGATTCAGCACCCCATAAAAAACAAAGGTGGCATTTTAAAAAAGGCTAGGGTTCTACTTTCAGAAGTAATTTAAGGGCTCAGAAACCTAAAAAACATTGAACAAGCAAGCAAGTTTTATATTAGTGTTTTTAATAATGCCATCCTTGGCAGTCAAGGGAGGTAACATTTAAAAATGCATAACTTAAATTCATTCCTTCCTTTCTTCTGATATAAGCAATACTCCATATACTCCTGACACATCCTGTTTCTATGGTATTAATTCCCTAGCTAACCTCTTTCTGTTCCTTCTTCTGTTCTCACAGATCTTCACTAAATCAACTTTTTAATTATTTTACAAAGATGCAGGCAAAACCTGTTTACATTCCTAAAGATATAGTTAAATTTACAGGAAGCGAATGACACTTGAATGTGTATGAATTGGCCATGACTTCTCTTTATTTATGGATCATAAGGTTCTACCTAAGTGGTTTTGCACCCAACTTCTAATTGAACTAGCTGAAAAAAAGCCCTGAAGATGATCAGCAAGTCATTCTTGGCAAACAAAACAACTAAACTTTCCCCATCAGAAACTGCAAACTAACATAAATCTCTAATGTCTATGTTACACTTCTCATTATATTAATTCCTTTGCTTAAATAAAAGCCTGTATCATCAGAACAAATTGCATTATTTTTAAGAAGAAAACAAATGCAGGATCTTTTTGCAACAGTGCAGGTCTTTCAATTATCAAGTAAGACAAAGATGCATCTGTACACATACCACTAAGTGTCATACACAAAATGAATGGAATAGCATTAAGACAATTACTGCATATGAGACACTTAAAAGGTTTAAGTAACACAGAAATTATGCAGTCCAGGTAGGAAAAAAAAATTCATAAAATTATATATAGCTTTCCTTGCATACACAGTGCAACCATATGCACTGGTCAAGTAAAGAAACTTTAAGGCAGTTGACCAACTTTAGTTTAATGAATACTATTCTGAAAACTCCAGCCATGGGTCCACGTTCACAAATACTAGAACTATGCATTACTGGAAACCACCATAGCACGTACCTGAAGCAGGTTTGAACACGCTGTATTTCTTTGGGCTCATCTACACTACACGCAATGGTACTTATGTCAGATCATATGTGATTAGAGAAAAATTGCTAAAATCATCTCACAAAGTTTTTAAACAGACCAGCAGATGGTCCAGGTCCATTCCTCCCCAGATGCAGAACGCTGCATTTCCCCTTTCTGAAGTTCACGAGATTCCTCCTGGCCCAGTTCTCTAGCCTGTCCAGGTCCCTCTTGATGGCAGCACAGCCATCAGGTGTACCAGCCACTCCTCCCAGTTTTGTACTGTCTGCGATACTGTACTGTGATACTGATACCCAAAGCTGGGTCTCATTAGATTATGACAAGCAAAGTGAACTTCTTAAACCAGCAAAAATTGTGACAGCATAGAAATAAAAGCTTTTCAATAAGTCTCCCTCCAATCCACTGTTTAGATTGGTACTCACAGGCAGGTTCTTAACTTCAGGTTTGGTCCCAACCCAGCAACTTTTCTGTGTCTCCTGAGTTACTGTCCCTTCAAGGTCTCTAGAAAAATCTCTCTTTACGTTAGGTCTGAGGCTCAGCTACACATCTGCTCCCTGCTCTTTTCAAAGTGACCAACAATTTAGATTCACAATACAGGTGCAGACTCTTCAGTCATGCTTCACTCCCTATACCCTTATCCTTCACTAACAACTTCCCCCAGCAGCAACATCAGCAGATGTTTTGAAGCGGATTTCTGCCTGACTCAAAGTGCTGCCTGCTTGCCCTGCCTGGCCGCACCCTTCTTTGATGTCCAGCCACTACTGTTACCTACAGTAAAGAAAAGAAAAATAACCTATCACGGTATGCAACATCGACAGTTTAACGACAACATTCAGCGAGAGGCAGGGATTATAAAGGCAGGCGCAGTGCCAAAGGAGGTATCTGGACCTATCGTTGCTCAGACATCATTTTCCTGTGCTTCACTCTGCACTGTGCTCTGTTAAAAATACTGAATTTCCTTTGCAAGCACAGAATAATAAAAGAAATATTGACTATGCACCCTAAATGACAATATTTTTAAAAGCAGCTATGAAAATACCTATGCTGAAAGAAATAATGATTTAGAAATACTGGACATTGAGCAATTTCTTACAAGCTTAGTAGTCACCTATAAAAGTGAAAAGCATTAATACAGCAAAAGGGACCCAGATCTTTCCACCTGCAACCCAGAAATTCAGAATTTTCCCAGCTCTTGACAATTGCCTATATAGCCTAAGCATAGTGAAACTGAGTACATTAATGCCATATATCACAGGACTACCCAAAACATCCAAAACGTATCTAGGATTCAGGAAAATAGTTCTTATTACTCATATCTATAACTTTTTATGATCAGAAAATTGGATTTTAGTTCACTTCCTCCAGTTATTTAAAAAAGTGTACAACCAGTTGTTTACTATTAAAATAAAACATATTTTCCCAAAGCATTAAGGAGTGCAATGAAAGACATTTTGTAACCCAGATAAACACAAGTGGTCTTTCCCATTTGCCAGTTTATTAACTCCCTGACTATATAGGAAATTTTCACCAGAAGGATCAAGCTTAGACAGTCCAAGCAGAGATGAAAAGAAGCATGTTTCAGTGTAGAAGATCATTCCCTGAGAATATGCTACACAGTTCCAAAATACTTATATCTCTGTAGTATTAAACCAATTTAGAACTGAGATTATTAGCTAATCTCAGAAAAAGCATGAAGAGAAACAATTTCTTCACATGCAGAAAACAAACCACACAAATAATTTATAAGGCATCTTGATTAGCAACCAGAAACTAAATAATAACGAAAGCAAGCTCTGCATCACAGTTTCTGGGTAATATATAAAAAGGCACAATAAATATAACACTGCATTCTGCAGTAGCCGATGTTTTCAAGTGGTCTTCAGCAACAGCTAATCAAACCATCAATGCAAGACTGATTCAAATTAACATGACAGTAACTTTCAGAAGAAAAGATAGCTACACCTCAACACTATGCAAGCAAAAAAATTTGCCATTACCAAGGTCACGAAGAGCAGGAACTGGATTCAGTTTGAGATTAAGACATGTAAACGTAGGTGTTCACATGTGTGTTAGATACATTAATACCTATATTTTAATCAACAGTGTTTTACTCAATACAGTCAATGGAACCTGCAGGGCTACTCAGCTGACTCACCAGTCAGCATTTAATTTTACTCGAGCCAAATCATTCCTTATGGTCCACTGACTGGATCTCCATTGACTGTGACGGAAGTTTAAATATACACATAAACCCACCTACTTTTAGGCACACAATTGTAAATTCTTTAACCTGAACCTGGATCCCACCCACAGTTGCAAGTTACACATCTATAGCCAACAAAGTGGCAAAATTACAAGTAGTGTCCGCTCTGGGAAAGGAGTCAATGGCCATAGTTTGTCCGAATCTGTGAGTGTTTCAAAATTTGTATGTTACTCTTCAAAGTACGTATAGGAAATTTCCAAATGTAGTGCAACCCTCCCCCAAAAATCTCCAGAAGAACCAAATATCAAAATAAACATGGTTGAGGTCAGAGTCTTTAGCAGAAAGGTAGAGTTTGGGGGTTGGGGTTTTTTTTAATAGTTTCACATAGCAATAGTGTTTTCTCAACAGGACTCACTCATAGTCTACTCCCTTCAGATGCTATTTGTAGGTATTTGTAGCCCTCTGGTAGGAATCCATGCAAGGTGTCATAAGAGTCTCATTTAAGAGCATGAGAAATCCCATGTCATCTTGAAACTGTAACTAAATTTCATCTTTTGATAAGCTCAGTTCAATGAATATCCTGGAACTCAAACTAGATTTTGCTTAAATCCTTTGAATATTAAAAAAAAGAAACCCAAAAATAAAATAAAATAAATTAAAAAAATCATTCTTGTGAGACTAGCAGTATAGCTTTGTGAGAATACAGGACATAAGTATATTTGCATCCTTATTCCCTGCCAGCAAAAAGAACGTATTATAAGCATTGAGTCTGAGAAATATCTTAAAAGATGTATCCTTTTTATGTTTCTGAACCACCACCACTGTCAAAGACATGGCAGAAAGAAAATGCAGAAATAGTCAAAAAGAGGCCAAACTAGTACATCACTTCAATAACATGTTTCTGATAATGACTGTATCAGATCTCTTAGAGAAAGATATACTTGAAGATTAACCTGTTAATAGAAGTTGCTTTTTCATTCGTAATAGTCAGTGGCTGGTTCATATACTCAGCATTATGGTTGTTATCTCCTTCCAAAACAGGAAGTAAACAGAGATTAAAAGATTTCTTACAGGATATGAAGAGATTTTTAAAAGTTCATCTTTCAAGGCAGTTGACAAATTCAAAACACAAAACCAACGTGCTCAAAAACAAAGAAAGGAAAAAGAGCTTCCTATTCCCCTAGTTCAAAAAAGCACCACTTTTTACACTTTCAAGGAACATCCAAGACATTTCCATTGCAGCTAAAGAAAGATGAAGCAAAGCAGACTTCCTGAATCAGAGAATATGCCTATTACTCACTTGGATGTGGGTCACTTTAAAGTTAACAGCCTGGACATTGAGAAAAATCTGTTGTTCAGCATGGATTCTTCATTAGTTTCCTTGATGCCCACTGGGTAACCAGACAGAACTCAACTGGACATTCTACTTCTGGTCATTCCTGGATATTCTGGTCAAGCTTCACTTCTGTTGTGAAGGAAATAACAATAATCCCAAAGATCCAGGGCCCTTGCTTGTGCTACATCTTCTTCAGGATCATTTGGTTTGATTCTTAGACCAAGTTTTAAAGACTATATACAGCTACCCATCTTAATGCATTTTCTACACAGATATAAAAATCTTCAACTGAGAATGCTGGAGTGTCAAAATTAGAAATAAAAAACCAACTCTGTACCAAGCTTCCCAGTTGTCATTATTTCCAAAGCTATTCCTCAGACTCCATGTCTTCTAGAGACAAAATTGCCAAGTTGAATGATTAACTATTCTTAGCCAGTTAATTTATTAAGCATTCCACGTGGAGCCCTTCTAAAATTATTTGTGTCATTATAAAGATAGACAGTATCAGTAACTTAGCTCTGTATTTAGTTATCTCTAAAAAGAAGTTGTATTCCTGCAAAGAGGTAGCTTTTGAAAGGAAAATACAATATTACCTGATTTCCAATTAATTTAATAAAGGCTTTGCTTTTTCTTTGTATCAAGAGAATTTATATTTTGGATTATTTTTCTAATGTAGTAACATCTACTGCCAGTTTGCTTTAAAACATCACATCTTTGTCCTGATGAAAAAGTCTTCACTTATGAAGAGTTATGTGAGACTACCAATCCTAAAGATGAAACCATAAGATTTCAGATGCATCTGAGTTTTGTTACTCAAATTAAGACCAAAAAGAGAATGAAACTGAATTTTAACACACTTACAGGACCTATTAAGAATTAAATTTGATTCCTAAACTAACAGAGGATCATGTAAATTGTTTCAGATTAGGTACAAACAGTTTATTTATTTTTTTTTTATAAAACACTGATAGAAACACCACTTAGAACAGAACCCACTCATCTTCAACTATACCAAGTTTCTGTTGTAGCTTCCAAAATACTAAAAAGAGAACTATTACTTTCCAGATACTGAAAAATATGGGTGATAGCCAAATATTATATTTAGTCACCTCTATTCAAATAATGAGTATCAGCTAAAGTTTCAGTGCAAATTCACTTCACAATTCATGTTCAGAATTAGTCTAGCTTGGCATTAAAGCTTTCTATTAATTTAGGGTAAATTTATTTTTACAAAAATAAATAAAAACAGTAAATTACAAATTACTGACCTAAAATTCTTTTATCAGATTATTAAATTGTAAGCAACAATCTACAAAACACACTCTGCTTGTATATTTTAAAGAATCCTAGTTTTCATACCCATGAACAAAATGTAATCTTATACTGTTCCCTGGAGCTCGCTCTCGTCTCTTAGAAGCTGCACTTTTTCTTTTTTCTTTGCATTGCTCTTTAAGTTGAGGTAGATCTTCTTTGTAAACCTTTAAGAAAGAGCACACTTCTAAGTTAAGAGATTCATAAGAAAAGCATGTTTCTGAGAATTCAGCCACATTTATCACCCACAAAAATGTTATACTGACATAATTGAAAAAAATCTCCAATAACTGTAGCTGGTTATTGTATAGTGTAACCTGTTTTTTAATTACAATCAAAACTCCAATAGAACATGCTGGGAATACCTGTAATCACTTTTTTTTTCCCTATTGTATCTTAATATTTTGCATGCATCAGATAATAACAATTCTAAAGGTTTTGGTCAGTTTCTGCTCAGCTCTGTCTCCCCAGTTTTCAGATTCCAACAGGTCTTCATAAAAGACCAACTTAAACCCTGGGAAGCATTCCAACTGCCATTAAAACTAAAATTTTTACCTGTCGACGATAGGTGATTTGTGTCTCCTGTTCAATTTCAGAGTCCAGCTCTGGAACATCAGACTGATCTGAATCTGATTCATCACTATTAGAATCAACTAGACTCTCTGCCATCAAGAAAACAGAAAAAGAAAATGAAGCAACCCAAATTACAAACCAGTAAGTATTTTAAGTAACTACTTAATGTTTCTGATTTGATAATCAATGCTGATATTAACTACAATATAAACTGCTAATAATTGACAGGCTCACAGGCTCAATTCTGCTGATACAGTAGAAATAAGCCAACTTGTAAGTATGATCATTTTTTTGGTTTTGGGAGCAAGTTAGTTTTCATTCATTAAAATAATTTCATGAACATTAATGTTAGGAGAAAAGGAAGAAAGAAGAGAATGAAGTAATGAGTATAAAGCAGAAAGTAAGACTTGCAGAAAACTAACAAGAGAAGTGAAGAGCTCCAAAGAGAAACTTATGGTTAAGTGAGCCATTGAGGTAAGTAGCTGGAAAGAAAAAAAAAAAATCATATATGGGAAGGAAGTGGTAAAATTTTTGGTGACTGTGGAGAAAAGAGTAGTCGTTTAATTTTTCTGGTTTACACCTGGGGAAAGCCAGACAATGTTGTAGCACAGTTTCATTCCAACAGAAACTGAAAAGAATGTCCTGGCTGATCTTTCTGCAACCTTTGATTGAATGTTGCACATTTTTTGATTAAGAAACCAGACACAAAATCAGTCTAGAAAATAAGTGGATTTTAAAAGATCTCAAAATGTAACTGCAAAGAGAATCACCACTCAGTAAGAAATGTTTCTAGAAACATCAACAAAGTGCAATCTTTGGAGCTATACTCCTTAACATTTTTCTCAATGATCTAGAGAAAAACAATACTGATATTGATAAAGGTAGCAGATTATGGAGTTAGAAAATCCATTGACAGGACAATTACTAATAGTGTGACAAAACAGATGAATGTCGCACATGCTGTCAGATAGCTAGAAGTAAGGTTATACATCCAGGAACAAGGAATCTAAACAACACTTAATATATAGAAATTTTATCTTAGGAAGCAGTAGCTAATGATAAATTTGGGTCATAGGAAATAAGTTGTTGAAAATTAATTCATATTATGAAGGATCAAACCAGTTAAAGGCTTTTTGGAGGCTTCATCAAGGAGATGAACTGTTGCTTCTTTCCGTATTTGGCACTGACAAGGCCAGCACTGAATCAGCATTCATTTACCTATTAGCTGGGTCTGCACTGATACATCTTAATTTGATCTGAACAATTAAAGGGTGAAACAGCCTATTTCATTGTAACTCTATGTATTTATTTCCCCAAAGGACTCTCTAAATTCCTTTAGGAATTTCCAAGTGAGGCATTCAGTTAATTGTTTGATTTTGGGAAACTCAGTCATGAGAATAATTGCTGTATTAGTCACTGGTGGAAAAAAATATTAAACACCTATAGTCTGCTTTAAAAAAATAATTTAAAAAATCAATTACAATGCTTAAATTATCATCTAAATATACATCTTTTTTTTCCAGTGACATGTGGGCATCCAGTTGTTGAGAATTTAGTAAAAGAGGATACGTACAGAATTCATAAATTCCTATCTATGATCCAAATTTTTAAATTTTCCTTTTAACACAGTGGTGATTTTTTTCCCCACAATCTTGCTAGACTGAGCATACAGGGTATGAACAAGCATTAGGCAATGCTATCAGGTACTTCAGGCAGCTGCAAAGTGAAGAACAACAATTTTGTACAGACTGACAATTTTGAATATTTATTTCTATACTTGCATAGAATTTTACTTCACTTTTAGCCTCCCCTCCTCGCACCCCCTTTTTTTTTTTTTTTTTTTTTTTTAAAAGTTACTTACCTTGGGGTGCTATATGAAGAGAATCCTTCAACTTCCGGTCAGGGACAAATTTCCACTGAAAAACAGAATGATCAGCTCCCCCAATGGAAACAACCCACTGGTGATCATGTGACCATCTGACATTTGTCACATGAGCAGAATGACCAAGATATTTTTTAAACTTTGCTCCTAGAACAAGAATAAAAATCTCTTTGAATATATGTGGAATAAATGTTTCAGAAGCACCTTAGGAAAACCTATTGAGCAACCCTTATAAAAGTAATAGTTTAATTAAGATATTACTGATAAAAGCCTTATCACTTTAAAAACAAAAATTGAAAGATTGAAATGAAATGTTTTTTTAATATCACCTTTTACAAAAAGAGTTGAAAAAGGTATGGAGGAATATCGTCCATTTTAAAAACAAAAAAATTCTTTAAGCACACATTGCTTGAAGACATATCCTAAGATCCATCATGAAGATCATGCAGTTGAAGCCAGCATCAAACATGCAATGCTGCAAACTGCAATGATGCCACAGTGCAACTTCTTGTTTCCTCTTTCAAAACTTACAGATTTTATCTAGTCCCCAGGCAAACCTTCTAGTTAAGAGGATTCTTCTTAAAAACTAGGGAACATTTCACAGATTTCCCTGATTACCATCATGTTACCAGCTTGAAGACAGAGATCTCTGCTATTGACAATTTGTTACAGTTTATTAACTTGAATGGTGTCTAGAACGGAGGTCTTCAAACAGCTCTGAAAAAATGAAGCCTTTCTCATCTAAAAAGATAAACATCTCTTCTCTGTTCACTCCGTCCTGAACAGTAAACTTGAAAATTATATACCTTGCTTTAGGCTTCAGTTTTAAAAATTTCACATAACATTTGTCCTTATTGCTAGTAAAATTTTGAGGAAAAATGTGTTCAAAGTTTTTAAACTTGAAGTGCCATTCAGTGGCATACTCTGATTACAGGACCAATTTGCTCTTCACTTATTTATTGCCTCTAATCATTTAGTAGAGTTATTTTTTCTACTTCCTAGCCCAAATCTCCATCACAGGTCCAGAGGAAGGAAGGAAAACTACTTGAAGACCAAGGTGAAATACTTGAAGATACATATCTTATAAAAGGGTAGATATTGTATCATCTCAGAAAATTCTGGAAATTCTCTTTAAAATTTTTTTTAAAAAAGAACTATTTTACAAATTAAATAAATATAAAACTTTGGGCTATTGTACTCCAAAGGCAAATAAAATACTGTTACTATTACAGTTGTCAATACACCAGCCTATTATTGTTTTCCACCTCTGAGCTCAAACTAAACTTCTAAGAATAAATATTGAAAATCATATAAGTGTCCAAAAATGCACTTTTCTAAAACCTTTTTCTTGAATAAGCAAAATTCAAAAATAAATGTTTATAATTGAACTTAAAGGTACTACCTTTTCTTAGACATGGGTATCGAAAGAGCTTTACTATTCCATAATCATCAGCTGTAACCATAACTTGCCCAATAAAATTTGCATCCACAGAATTTATATCATTTATATCTGAATATTTGGGCCAGATGCCATTAACTTCAAGGCCAGAAACACAGGTCCACGATGCCCACTGAACACCTTTTAATTCCTCCTTGTTTGTTACTTCTTTTCCACCTAAGAACAAAAATAAAGAGCTATTTTTCAATATTCACTTATGCAATTTTAAATAATGTATTTTTTTTAATATTCTCCAGAAATCAAACCCAAGTGTGACAGAATTAAGAACTGACTTCTGAAACTGTCCTGATCTAGTATTTTCTATTATGCCCAACAGTATCAGTAGGAAGGCTTCTCAAGACTACTTAATTCAAGACCACCCAAGATCATGGGTTCAGTACATTACAGTTTTTATTATTTCTTGATATCCGATTGAGACTGCGTTATTTTTAAATGTTTATAAAAAAATACATGTAGCCATTCTAAGAAAAAGTTTGGAAAAATTCTGTTGCCGAACTATTCTAGAAACCTGGATTATGTAAAGCAAAAACTGAAAAACTCACTTAGATCTGGCCACTGTAAATTACTAAAAATACAAGTTTTATGCTTAGATCCTTGTCACATTAGTTCACACGAGCTCTGTCTGTAATAAGATTGTTCCAATCCCACAAAGTTTCATGTAAGAGCTTAAGTACTGAGTCTAACTGAAGGCCCATTTAATAAATACTGCGTCTTCAGGAATGGCCAGAAGCAGAATGCAGGAGTAACACAAGCAAACATAAAAGTTGTGAGTCAGATTGAGAACACAGCTGCAGAACCTGAGCAGGACATCATCAACAATTCACCTCTCAGTCTTCAGTGGTAACAAAACTGAAGGCAAACAGGCTGGGTTTTTTCCTGATTTCTTATTGTTAATAGGATTCTGATTAGCAGGAGAGGATGGGATGGAATCTAGTGGGGAGCAGTCTCAGGTACTGTAAGGAGGTAAGTTTTCAACAGAGGGTTAAGGCAAGGGAGAACTCAAGCGGACTGGAATAAAGGGAGTAAAGAACAGCCATATCAAAGAGATAAAGCAAAATGGCAAATAAATCAGAAAAGAAGACTAAGGAAAAAAAAAAAAACACCGAAAACCCACACTCAAGGAAAAGTTTCACTACTATATACCCCTCCAAAAACTGGAAAGGAACTCAAGTGCTCTGTTTGAAGATCCTTCAGCTCTGATGAAATAACTGCACCCTTTGACAAGTTTTACCTCGTAATCTCTTTCAATCACCAATCAATGTGAACGATGACTACTAATACTGGGTATATCCACAACTAAGTCCTACAGATCTTGTATTAGGCAACTATAAGTTCCTTACTCATTTATAGTGGAATTTCAAGTGTGATAGGATTCTGATAATTATTTTAAATTATTTAGAAGATTTCTCTAACTTCACTGACTTTGCAAAACTTTTTTCATAAACAAGCTTTCACAATCCCACATTCTAATATATCAAGAAACTCCAGGCTGAAAGCTGCCTATATAACTTCAAATTGTTCCTCCTGTGTACGTATTTGTTATAGTCTAATTAAATTCTCACTATCTTTTCTTGTGTATCTTCTGTCTCATTCAGTGCACAAAATCAAACTTGTGCATGAAAGGAATTAGATGCTTCAGCAAAGAGTCACAAAAAGCTCAATGGAACTATGAATAATGTACAGTGCAAGGCATAAATACTGTATAACAAATGAAGAGACAATATAGTAAGTGGTAATGATAAGAAGTACTTTCTACAAATACAGTGAGTGGGAAAAAATATGGAATGGTATTATGTAGAGGGTATACACACAGAAGAACCAAGTCAAACCTTGCAACAAACACTGCCCTTGACATATTATAATCAGGACTAAAATCTGAAGCTGTAAGATGTATATACTATGTGCACATGTCCTCTGCAGAGGGAATTGTCTTCATGAAAACTGTTTCAAGAGTATGGGACAGTTCAGTCAAGTTTTCAAGACAGTGCTGTCTTAAAAATATTTACAATAATGGGGCTGTAACAAACTTTGAATCTGAAAACTGTATTTTAATATTATGTAATATACTCATTTTCTTTAACAGTCCCATCACAAAAAAAGACACATTTGAACTTACGTTATCTGCCCAGCTAAATTTCATTTTTAAATTTTTATTCATTTGGAAGGTTGCATGATTGAATCATATATGTATCACACCTTCAATATTTCGTCTGTTTCTAGTGGCATCCTTATACTCTTATCTTCTCTACAGTTACCTAATCCCATTATACTTCCAAATTTATTTGCATTCCAATTGTTTCTATCTATTACAAATTTCTCACTGTAAAAGCTCTTGTAACTTAAAATTTCTCAGTTCTGCTGCAAGCATAGTTCCAGAAAACCAGATGACTATTTTGAGACACAATAAATTGATTTTTCCCCACACAGTTTAAAAAACATACAGTGCAAGCAAATGATAATCCATTTAATATCCAACCTCAATAAGTACAAAGCTATTGCAAAATTGAATTTGAATACAATTTTTTTCTTTTTCTAAAGAAGTGGGAGCAAAGATTTAGTTTTGAGAAATAAAACAAATTATAAGCCATCATCTCTACCATGACAAGATGCATTATAAAGAAGAGTAAACATATAAGGATAAAAATATTTGAGTAACTTCACCAGAAAATGCTGTACTTATTCAAATATAGCAAATATTTATACGAAGTTAGAAAAAAATTTCTCTGTAACTCAGTGCTTTGAACCAGGATCTATATTTGGCTGTTTTTAGAAAACTACAATACATTCTTTCTGTAATAAGTAACAAGTATCATAAAGGCAACTCAGAGTCTTACTTGGCATCCTGTAAAAAAGTCTCTTTCCATTGCCATCATTGGTCTGTAAGTATTTACTGTCCGAAGACCAATCCATATGGGTGATGAAACTTAAAGATCCAATACATTCCCCAACTTTCTTGTATCGCTGAACAACACCATATATATCCACAGAGCTGTCATTGGAACCAACAGCTAGGAAATTCCCATCTGGTGAATATTTCAGTTCATGAATAGCTTCTTTCCTGTCTTTGATATGAACAACCTCAGTCATATCTCTGTAGTATGAAAGAAAGCATGTCATAAGTATAGAAGAGCATTATCATATTGTCAAGTTCCCAGTTTTAAAAAATAGATGAAATTGTGAAACGATGAAGTGAACTTTACTATCATATTTGCAAACACAACACTGCTATTTCTAGAGTTGGGCAGGGCTTCATGGTCAAAAAAAGAGAAGGGAACAGTGGTACAAGAAGGTGCTGCATTGGACTGAAGGACAGCGAACAAAAGGAACTGTTCAAGCTGGGTCCACAAAAAAAAATTATTCAGATAGATTACCAGATCTTTATTCACTCAGGGAAGAAAAATTCACTGACATGAGACACAGATCTCATTTTCCCTTTAAAACTGTGGGATCACAGCAACAAGGCAGCACTGGTTTTGTGTGCGTGCTATGCTGGCAGAAGCATTCCAACACATGTAAACAATTTAGGAAGTAAGGAAAATTTATTTCTTAATAATTCAAGAATAATTAATAAAGCTAAAACCTATAGTAAAATACTTCCTAGAATACTGCCATTCTTTGCAAATAGATGTACATACTTTTTCAAATGTGTTGTTATGGAACAACATGAACGCACATTTAAAAAATATGAGCACCCTAAAAATCAGCAATTTAAACCAGAAATGTAAATGATCTCATGTACGGTCACTACAGTGTCAACATACATACAATTTCTAAAAGCAATCAGATAACATATCTAATAACACATCTATTTTCAATTTTTGTAACATACCTGACTCGAAGCACAGTGAAAGAGCCATCCTTCATTCCAAGAGCGAGATGGATTCCATCAGTACTAACCGCAGCACAGCGAATGGGTTCCTCCATATTGCACCGGGCAATCAGAGCATGGTCTATTAAACTCCAAATTCTAAAATAAAGTAATAATTACAAATGTAAGGAATGGTTTGTAGCTGTATCATGGATAGTATGAAGCCTGCAATCTCTGCAGAACACTGGACATAGTAGTGTCCTATTTTAAAATAATTTTCCACAAGGAAATCTAAGACAAAAGTGTGAATTTTGCATACAGCAAAGAATATTCTTACATTTAAAATAATGAGAAAGTATCTAATGAGAAAGGGGCAGATTAATTTTGACTTTCTGAATATAAAAAGAATGACAACATATGACAACATATACTTTTAGACCACTCTGTGAAAATTCCACTATTTTGATAATCATTTTAGCCAAGAAGAACATTAAACAACAATTAAAGACTTCACTCAGTAAACATATCCTTTTTTATTAACAAGTCATTATTCATAATTCCTTATATATAATTAGATAATAGTATAAGTTTTTACTACAAGATACATTGCATCATCTATCATTTATAAGATATATCTGGAATTCTAGAGCATTATTTCAATATTCATAATTCAACTAGTATTTTGCTTAACCACATTATGCTTAAGACATTTAACAAAAAAGCCAACACATTTAATTTCTAAGAAAGAAGAGAAAAGGTGTTTTTGACAAAAAAAAAAAAAGATGAACTTGTAAAAGAGAGTAATTTATTGGGTTTTCTCAGAGTATAGATTCTATTTACTACATATGCGTTAAGGTTGATGAAGCTCCCAAGCTAAAAGTTAATTTGCAGTATGTGAAAAAAGTGAGTAAGAGTAAAAATTTAAAATTTTTCATTGTAACCTGTGAACGCCTAGTATAACTCCTGAAAAGGAAACACTTTCAGGATACTTGTGTATGAGTGCTTAATGTTAGCCTAAATGAAACTTGTTTCAATTTTGTACATTTAATTTTTCTGCAATACACATTTCCACTATATTTTATTACTGGAGAACACTAATTTCATGTGTAACTTAACTGTTTCAGAAGCACTTCAATGCCACATTTTAATATGTTTTAAATGTATACATTTCAGTTAGATTATCTACAAAATGAGCTGTTTGTGTAAGACTGTATGCAGTTAAACAAACAAACAAGATTTAACCTGACTGATCGATCATCACTTCCAGTCATTGCTAGCGGTTTTGTAGGATGAACAGCCAAAGCCCACAGCTCTCCTTCACAGTGCCCCTGCATTATCAGGAAAGGCTTATTACGCTCATGCACCACAATTTCAAAAATTTCACTATCTTGTGTCCCGACGAGTATATGGTCTCCTCTCCAGCAAACACTTCTTACAGACAGACCTGTAGAAGAGATTGTTGCTGAGAGATACATCCCCTGAATTTGTGAAACAAAGGTAGCAAGGCACATGATAAAACATAAAAAGCAAGAAAATGTCAAGAAGCATTCATAGACTTCCCCATGTTACTCCATTTACTCCTTTTATCTATTCCATATAACACATACTGCCCTTGCAGCATTAACTTTTCAAGCTTAGTATTACAAAAATTCTAAAATAAAATGTGAGCCTTATTTTGATAAAGGACACATAGCCAATTCTTGTATTACAAGATCTCTGACAGAGAAAGATATACTGGCATTTGCATCTGAAATTATGCATTCAATGTCTTTAAATTTCAACAAAGATAGCAGAGAATACAAATTACAATTTCTGATCAAACCATGGACCTTAGCACTAGCTACATGAACCTAAATCGTGTAAGTGACAGAAGCATCAGTGGAACATGCATTATACGTAAGACAGTCAAAAAGCCCAATTCTCCCCAGCTTGTTTCTGAGACGCTTCCCGGAAAGTAAAACTTTGTAACATCTTAATAATATCTGGAATTATTTTTCCCACTAAAAAGAATATAAAAATAAATCAAACTGAAACAACATATAAAGAGATGAAAAGGGTTTATGATGGAATTTAACAAGCATTTCTAACAAATGAATTAGTTTCCAGGCTTACTGTAGAGGTGAGCGCTCACAGGCTGCACTTGTTTGTAGATAAAGTTAGGAAAATAAAATGGAAGCTAGGACAGTTGTACGCTAAGAACCCAGTCTTAGATGCCCAATTATAGGAATATGCACCTTTTAAAACACATTGTATTTATTACATTCTGATAGTGCAACTCAATTTTGCCAATTTCAGGTGTTGAGAACCAGATGGAAGCAATGCCTAATTTAATTCACTTTGCCTAAACACTGACTTTTGTGGAGAGTAGCTCAAGAATGATCTTTGAAAAACTACTCTGGATTAATCTGAGAGACAAAATTATATCTATCAGATGACAGAAAGGAATATTGTAATGGTATGAGCTTATGTTTTTCTGAAAAATATTTTTAACTAGTAAATCTCCTACCTTATTGGTATATCAAAAGTGACAAAATTCTTTTTACCTTTATATCCTTGATCTGTTTCCCTGAGATCAATCACAGTAATTGGTTTGAAATTTAAGTCCCACAAGCGAACACAGCCATCCCTGCCACCAGTGGCGAACCCCTCTTCACATGCATTCATGCTGAAAATTCCTGCCTAAAGAGAGAAAAAAGTTATTTTTAACAATATACACCAATTAGAGATATCAATACGGAAAGCAGAATTCTTGTCCATGCTGGTATTGATTGTCTTCCTGTCTTCCTACCTGTTACGCTGTTGAAAATAGCATAAACATATGCAACTAATACAAGCTTTAAATATGAAATGAGTCAGAAATGCAGACAAACTCAAAACGTGCAGAATTCACATTCAGTGACAAACAGTAAGATAAGAGAATTGTTGCAATACTGCTTTCATCCTGACAATGACGATCATAGTGATGCTGCTTCTTATCCCTAGAGTTTAGTTTCATACCCTCTTGCCTTAGGGCCTGCTC